CACATGGACCACTGTATATTATCCAGGAGTGCTGTGTGTCTACTTTACCATCAAAATTACGTATTTACTGTTTAAAAGGCACTATTAATAAAAAATGAGTAAGAGGGAATATTTACAGGACCTGGAGGACCAATATCGGCATTTTTCTTTTTTCTGTGGGAGCACCAGAGCACATAGTTCTGTGCACACACACAAACATACAGAGACCAGCATGTGTGCTGCATGTAGGTATATCCTAAGACACACACACACATTGTAAATCCTAATTTCTTTCTGTCTTTCCTTCCTTCTTCCTTTCTCTCTTTCTTTCTTTTTCTTCTTTTTTCCTTCCTTCCTTTCTTTCTTTCTCTTTTTTCTTCCTTCCTTTCTTTTTTTTTTCTGCAGAACATTTCTTTATTTTTCACTAAGACTTTCCCAGAGGACATAACTAAGCTTGTCACCACCCCCACCCCCAACAAAGGATTAGTGTGCTCACTGCCATAAAGCAGATAGGAACAGTTTGCAAGGACTAGAACCAACCTTAAATGGCAAAGAACACATTCTCTCTGAATTATGATGAACATGTTTAAGTAAAGAAAGAAAGGAAAGGAGCAAAGAAGTAATGGTGGTTTCCAAATTAAAAGATCATTCACGTTTTGTGTCACATGTTCAATCTTGGTTCTCCTGTACCGAAATTCCTGCTGTTGTTTATTTTGAAGTTTTTAACAACTTTGTAAGAATCATCACAATTATTTTAGTTTGTTTTTAACCATCTTCTTGAGTAATAATTTGTGTGTGATATAACTGAGCCTAAAGATCTAAAAAGATTGTGACTGCATGAAATGTCATGTTTGCCATAACCCTGAAATACTATGCCAGGCCAGGCCACACCTTCACAATTCTTTCGATAACTTGAAACCGTGTTTCTCTTTTCAACTCTCTCATTGTTTATGGTAAATAATACCGGAATTCACACTTGGAGACAGTGGGATTACCCTGTGGAAAAGCCAGTGTTTTACATCTATGTTGCAAGTCTGCAAATATTAGCCCTCTGTTATTATTTAATTTGGATAATAATTAAATTAATTATGTATTACATAGACTTGAACTAGAGAAGCCAGTCACTAGAGGGCAGCAAACCTCAGAGAAAAGACATGAATTCAAATGCTGATTCTTAATCCAAGGTAATAAAAAATACTGAATGTCCTAGAGACTGCAAAGAATTGGTGCTTTCTGAAGCATCTCTGTGATTCTTCAAGTCTTGGCTCTTGCACAGACTTGAAGACTTGGCTCTTGAAGTAGAAAGTTGCATCGTCTTTGGAAAACTGTCACTACAATTTAGTGATCAATGAACAATGAGCATTTCAAGTTATTCTTCTAAATAAAATCTGCATAACAACAATTATGCTAGTTCAGCATGTTTAAGAGATGGTTATGAAATAGGTCAACTGAGATTTTGTGGGATTTCTGCCTCTTCAGAGGGAGCAGATGTTTCCTTATTATTTCATCCTGAGAGTCGTAAAAAATGAAACTGATTTTTATCTCTAAAAACTTGAAGTTATTTTCTGAGTCTATAAAAAATGCAAAATTTGTGAAGGCAAAAATATTCTGTAGTCTATAATGTTAGGGTCTGTCCCTACTAATAGAAATTATCTTCAAGTTTGTTTATTGTTTCTAAGTTACATTATAAGAGAATTTAGCCATAGCTCCCCATTTCCCTTTTGAACTCCCAAGGAGTGGTGTTTGCTCAATGACTAACTTATTGTAATGAGCACATATCCTTTTAACATAATTAGAGTAATGTGAAGCTATACAGAATTTGTTTATGAGAAATAGCCCCTTCTTTTCCTCTGCAATTAAGAAATCCTGGTTAAAATGTGTTGGAAGTCTCATTAGCATTTGTGTGTGTGTGCTGGGGTGTTTCAAGACCCATGAAAACATGAATTTTTAAGAGTTAATCTGAAAATAAAATCTACAAATAAACAGTGTTACTGTCTTCAATTAAATGAAATAGAGTGCTTTTCCAGAGCTTCTTTCTAATCCTGATCTTGGTGGTGTGACTTTGACTTAGCTTACGCCTACTAAGTAGACACAAAGTTCATTTCCTTAGAATGTCAAAAATAAAGGAAAAACAAAGGAGTCTTACCAAACAAGTATATGACTATGAACTTCAGAAATACCTGGATTATTGGGAAACTGAGAAAAATATGAGAATTTTAGAATCAAGATTTTTCTTTTTGTTCTTGTTTTTAATTTCTTTTTATTTATTCTTTGTGTGTTTCACATCGTGCATCTTGATCCCACTCGTTTCCTATCCCTTCCTATCTGCCCTCCATCCCTACAAACTGCCCACCCAAATAAAATAAAATTTAAGAGAAAGAAAAAGGAAAAGAAAAAGGGGGGGGGGGAGGAAAATCTTCTCATGGGAGCTGTACTGTGTTCCGGTGAGTCACGCAGTAAACCTTTTTATCCATTTTTCTTTATGTGCAAGTGTTCACTGCAAAGAGTTGTTAGTCTGGTTTGAGGCCTCTAGTCTCTGCCAAATCATTGATGCTGGACCCTCACTGGGGCTCCTCTTGGACATCCTGTCGTTGCCCTGTGTCATGGAGATCCTGCAGCTTTGGGTCTGCAGGACTGGCCCCTTCATGTACTCCAGCAGATCACAGATGGGGTGGATGTTGGGGTGAGCCAACTCATAACCCTGGTCCTGGGCCTTGGTAGTTGCCGGGTTTGTCAGTCCTCAGGCTCTTCCCTGTCTTCACCACCAGGATGAGCTCTCCAGCATTGCCCTGGCTCGTTGACTCCTTGAAGTGATGAGCAAGGGGCGGGGCCAATTCCTTCTTTGTCCCCACCCTGCCCCTTCACATCCTCAGGGTCAGCTCTCCCACTCTCCGACATTACAACATCTACACCTTCAGGGCCAACTCTACTGTGTTGCCCAGGCCAGGTGTAGGGGCCACTCTCCCAAGTGCTGCCCCTGATGAGGGGCGTGGACAGTTCTCTTGCTCTTAAGATCTCAGAACCAGCTCTCCCACCTGCCACAGGCCACGAGGGGCAGGGACTGGGGTGGGAGTGGGGAAGCGTCTCTCCCCTGCCCACACCACCACCTGGTAGATGAGGGACGAGGCCAGATCTCCCATGTTCCCGTTCTCCTGGCAGTTCACCTGCACCCCAGTCAATAGGATCAGCTCTACCGTGCTGCCCAGGCGAGGTGGAGCTGGTAAGGGGGAAGGTCAGCTCCCTCACCCACCACAGGTAGCAGGGGAATGGAGGAGGGTATGCCCTCACCACCACATGGCAGATGAGGGGGGTGTGGCCAGCTATCCTATTCTCACACCCTCAGGGACAGCTCACCCATGCCTCTGTCATCAAGGTCAACTGAGGAGCAGGGCCCACTTTCCTGAGTGCGGCAGCTGGTAAGCGGGAGGGTCATCTCCCTCTTCTGTCCTTCTGTCATAGGTGGTGAGGGAATAGGGTAAGGGAGGCATCTCTACCCCACTCACATCCACCATATGACAGACAGTAGTGGGGACAGCTAGTTCTCCCATACTCACAGCTTTGGGGATGGCTCATCCAGATCTCCACCAACAGGGTTGGCTCTATTGTACTGCAGGGCCTTCTCTTCAAGGTACTCATTCATGTGCACGAGGGAAAAAAAAGTCTATGTATTTAAGAGTCTTCTTACCTACAACATAAATGCTAATGACTCCAAAATCTATTTTCCAGTCCATACCCCAGCTCCCTCCATAACCAAATAGTTAACATTTCTACCAGGGCCCAGATTCATGGAAGTATTTAAGGTCAAAATATTCCAAGCTGACCACATCGCTTTCTCACCTAAACCCACTCTCCTCTTGTTTTCTCTACTCTGAGTTCTTTCATCCTTCCCTTTCAACCAAGGTAAAGGACCAAAACCAGCCTTGCTTCTTTGTTCTTCAAACCACCAAACCAAGCAACCACCAACCCTTGTTACTTTTAAATGTAAATGGTTTTAACCCTTTCTCTGATTTCTGGTCACATTACCTATAGCAACTTCTTTACTGGCCACGAGCCCTATCTTCCCAAAAACGTTGTCTATATTTTGAGACCGTTAGTACTGGTGCTGGACTCTCAGGCCAGAGCTTCCTACGCACAGTGAGCATCCACTCACCTGCAGAAGTTCAGCTGTCCACACAGGATGCACTTCATTTTTAAAAATGTCCTTGATAGCTGGGCGGTGGTGGCGCACGCCTTTAATCCCAGCACTCGGGAAGCAGAGCCAGGCAGATCTCTGTGAGTTCGAGGCCAGCCTGGGCTACCAAGTGAGTCCCAGGAAAGGCGCAAAGCTACACAGAGAAACCCTGTCTCGAAAAACCAAAAAAAAAAAAAACAAAAACAAAAATGTCCTTGATAAATATTCGTTGAGCCAAAAAGAATCTGATCATTCAGCATTCCTGTGGTTAGCCTGGGTGTGAAAACAAGACTCTGTGTTGTGCTGTAGCAAAGCACATAAACTAAAACAAAATTATCTACGGACATTTGTCAGTTTAATATATCTTTTCGTTTTGGAGGGAAATTGGGAAAAAGAAGGCACAGTAAACAGAGTCCTGGACACAAACTGACGAGACAAGCACGGTTCAAATTTTTGCCAGAAGCAACACAGAAAGAGTGGCACCTTACCGAAGATGTGGATCTTACACCCAGCAGCAAGGCCCAAAGACACTGCTTCTGTGGCTTCGATCCAGGCCTTTTCTTCTCACACTTTCCTTTCAAACAACAGTCAGCTTGGGGAAGAAAAAGCAAAACCTAAATCCTTGAAACTTTATAAACAGTGAGCAGTCCCGGCCGGGCATCTCTTCTGAAGATGGCAAAAGAAGAAAGGTAAACGAAGGTGCTTTCATCTTCTGTTTGTGCTGGGCAAACCATCAGAATTCGGAAAGGTCTTTCATTTGTTCATACATTCCTTTCGTGTGCCTGAATGAATGCCTGTAGAAAGCATTTGCACAGCTAAAACGCTCACCAGGAAAAGGAAAAAAGGAAGCCTTGGCAACTGGTGTTGACAAACAGCGTGAGCACGGAAGAAGAGGCCTGCCAATCAGGAGAACAGAGGCTGAATATGAGACCAGTGCACTAAGCCCTATGCTAGGTAAGGGAAAACCAAGAGCCACTTGCCTGCTGGAGCATCCTGGATTTTCAGGGGTTTGTTCGTATGGTTGGTTTTGTTTTTGTTGTTGTTGTTGTTTTGGTTTCGGTTGGGTTTTTTTCTAGATTGATCAATTTCCATTGGTAGCAAAGCATATTTATATTAGACTGGGTTTCAGTTGGTCTGTCTACAAAGAACTTTCTTTTGTTTTACACATTACAAATATTTCTTGAGCAGTCTTACCTTTCCCTTTTAGTTTGATCTCCTGATGCCTTATGTGTCTGTTTGCTCTAAGATACATCCCCAAAATTACTGTTTGGGCTGAAAATGACATAGTTCTGAAGTTAATCAATATAACAACCCCTATACTAGATGTAAAACAGGATAAATATGTATAATAAAGTACTGGACTTTCATCCATATTAGATGAATATATGCAGTTAGTTGGTTAGTTAAAGAAATCAGCACAAGCAGAAGGAAGCAACACTATGTAATACTAGTGTAAGCTATCATAAGCAGCAGTCAAGCTGTTCATATTGAAAGTCACTCCTAAACTCTGTAGGTCATTCCTATGCCATGCACCACTTTCTCCTACACTTAGATTACTCGGTCAACACAATGGCAAATGGACTAGATGTTTGATTACTGTCATTTCCTTTTAAAATGAAATTGCCCTTTCTTCTATTGAAAATGATAACAGTTTTCACTTTTCTTACTCAACTAGTACCTATATAAAGAGTTTTAAATTCATTGAGATTCTATATTTTATTGATTTTTAGAATCTTTTGCCATAAAACTCACTACTAAAGACCTGAGTGTGCTGGCTGATTTTGTGTCAACTTGGCACAGCCTAGTCCTGGAGAGGAGGAAGCCTCAATTGAGAAAATGCCTCCATAGGATTGGGCTGTAGGGAGGCCTCTAGAGCCTTTTTCTTAATTAGTGATTGATGTGGGAGGGCCCAGTTCATTGTGGGTAATGACATTCCTGGACTAGTGGTCCTGAGTTCTATAGGAAAGCAAGCTTAGCAAGCCAGTAAGCAGCACCCCTCCATGGCCTCTGCATCACCTCCTGCTTCCAAGTTTCTGCCCTTCTTGAGTTCCTGCCCTGACATCCTTCAATGATGAACAGTGTAAACCAAATAAACCTTTTCCTCTTCAAGTTGTTCTGGTCCTGGTATTTCATCACAGCAATAGTAACCCTAACTAAGACATTGAGGTTCATGTTAGGCAATTCTGGGGGAAACTCCAGGAAACAGGGTATTTATTAGTCTTTGTCATGAGCTGTCAGGAAGCAGGGGTGACCCTCTGCTCATCTTGATGAAAGCCTGCAGGGAGGAGGGCCACAGGCACACCTGTTCCCCAGGAGAGGAGAATATTTCACAGCTTGGTTCTTATTTATATTTTGTCCGTACTCAAACATGACTGCAAGTGGGCTACTTTTGTCTTCATTTCTTTCTCCTGTTGATATTCTGTGAAGTCATTTCTAATCGAAAGAAAAACACAAGATGTAACAGCAAGTGACAGGTCAGCTCATGTTAGCATCTAGCAGAGAGGACCAGCCAGGCCACCCTCATTTGCCATTTGGTCATTTGCCCTTTGTATTAGGTCCAAATGTAAATACGGTGAATCAAGGGATATCATTGCATGATGCTTGTGCTGTCACTGTCTCTGAGAGCTTGCTGGTCAGGGGAAAGCATAATCTGTAGTTGGCCTGGGACTGGTCACCTGCTCTGTTTGTGTAGAATGAAAGCTCAGTGAATAGTTGCAACATTGCCATTCAGGACAGAGCACATCACCAGCTTCAACATGGGCAGTGATCCAACAGTCCTTGACATTTGTCAAGGTTACAGATAATAAAATCCAGGCAAGACCTCCCCCTGTGTTTGTTTTGTGAAGGAAAGCTACTGAAAGGAAGCTGCACCTTACATGGAAGCTTCTAGAAGGCTGATTAACTGACTAGAACTTCAATGGCTGTGGAAAGATTAGATTGTCGCAGGTCAAAGGCCTGCATTTTATCCTGGACCATCTTTAGCCCCAGCGATACCTATTCCTTGTCTACTTCTGTGTCTGACTTTACATCCTTGTGACTATCAGATGAAACCTTCTGCAATGTATTAACTTAGCAAACCCTAATCTTCCACCAATCCAAAAGCTAAGAATGTCGTCAGATAGCATCTGAGACCTGAGCTGAGACTTTCTCAGTTTGTAGTACTTTCCAACTACTTGATGTATTGAGCAATGTATTTAAAAAGCATCTTGACTTATGACTTTATTATGTTATACAAATATCATGAAACTGCTGCCACATTGGAACCTGTAATCTGCAAGTAATCTAAATCTGTGTTCCAAAGCCATGGTCACTCATACTTGGTGCCAGCATGAAGAATCTCTTACTCCGTTTGAGAAGAAAGCTGTGTTTCCTGAGCCAGCAGTTTATAAAGTCAGATGACAATTTTTCCTACACTTCATCATTGGTTTGTGAATTTCTCTTGTAATATGTGGAGTAATAAATAGTATTTGCTACAAGTTGGATCTTCCTGAGGTTAAGAGCAAAGACTGCAGATGTACGGTGTCTTTGACCTTGGCTTTGAATTCTGGCTCGTTTTCTGATTACTCACGTGCTAGAAATGGTATCATTTCTGGTTTTCACTAGAATCAGTGTTGTAGTTCACTAGAATTGATGCTTCACCATTTTTTTTCCAGTGTGAAAAACAGTAGTCCATATAATATGTATGAAGGAGTCAAAGATTCCTGAGAGATTCCTGAAAAACCGTGCTTCCCTTTGACGGTTATAACAACCTTTTGTAGCTAAGAGAACGTGGCTGTGAGAAGAGGGGATGACTCAAGGTCAGTGGCTGTGAAGAGCAGAGGGGGAAGGGAGATAGGGAGGTTAATCAGTGCTGAGTGAGCTACAGTTAGATAGTAGCATGCCCCAGGATGTGACTCGGTGGCAGATAAGATGCTGAGCATGTGAGCACATGTGCAGTGTGCATTTGATCCTCGGCGAACAGCTCCCCTCCCTCAGGGGGAAAAAAAGAGCAAGAAGTTTAAATGTGGCATGAGTCTACGAATAACAGTAATGTGCTGTTGACTTTTTCAAGCTGGAAAATGGGAATTTGGAATGTTTTCATCATAATGATACAATAAATGTTTGGGAAGATTTGTGTAACCTGACGTAAGCACGCAATGTATGCTTTTGTTGAAACATCAGAGGGTACTCCAGTAATACATATAATTTCTATCCTTTTAGGTGTTAATGAAAAATAAATTTTATTTTTTAAAAAGAGTAGGATAATAAGGAAGGGACATAAAAGTGGGTTTAAAAAGTCCCTCTTGAGTTGTGGAAAAAAGCAATCAGGAGGCTGTGATACACAAGAAACCACAAGAAGGAAGCTTCCTCAGGAGGACAGAACAGAACAACAATGCTGCTGAGATTTAATGGAGTTTAATCTGCATATGATTACTCCGGAATTTTTCACGAAATTTACAAATTGGCTCTTAAGTCTGTAAGTTTCAGCAATAGCTAGAAAAATCTGAAGTACAAAAATACATGGTATTAGAATAAACCATGAGAAAGAAAACACAAAAGCCACAGGAAATATTAGCAATGCTTTAAGTATTTGTTCTAACTGAGAGGCAAACACAGTCTTCAGCACACAGGGTTGCAGCTTCTGATGATGTTGGCGTTCTGAACCATTACCAGGGTGGCAAGGTTGGTGCTAACTGAATGATGCTGGGAGAATCTGACAGCATGTGATAGCATAGAAACTTGACTCACATTTGCCTCCAGATTCCTCTAGTAGTCAATGCTGAGTTGATGCCAGTATCACACTGTAGTGGGGGGCTGTTCTCACCATGCCCTGAAGTACTGCCCCTAGTGAGGTAGCAGGTAACTGTTACACCTGTCTATGACCTTGAAGTACTAGGCATGGCCACTCAGGACCCTTAAGACAGGGATGCATGTGCACAGCTCTCTCTTCACTACCTCGTGGTTTTGGATGCTAGGACAGACCAGGGCAGATCTTACCAGAGAACAGCTTTGCACCATGCCTCACCCTTCTAGGATCCTGCGACAAATTTCTCTATTTTGTCTTGTGAATTTTTTTTTTTCACAAATAAATTCCTTTGTCCATTAAGCAGACTTCGTGGATTGCTAGCGATATAATCCCATTATCACACCCTTGAATACCCTGAAGTGTAACATTCTTAAATAGAATTTCCAAGCCTCAGATGTTGAATCACAGTAATACATACATACCCAGAGAGAGATGGGGGGGGGCGGGTATAGAGAGTAAAAAAGGAAAAGAATCTGTTTGCAATAGTAATTACAGTTTGTCTTGGAATCTGATTGGGGTGAAAGCCAAATGAGGATGTGCAGAGGAGGTGGGGGGTGGCGTACTGGTTGTATACTTGGATTGAAGATCTATGTCACTTCTAACAGTTGCTATGAAGTTAAGAGATAAACTGAATCAAAGGGATAATAGGTAAGACAAGAAGGATAGAAGATAGAACAGAACTTGGAGTAAAAAGAGATGGCATCAGAGAACTGCAGACGGCCCTGGGTAGCTGAAGTGGAACAGGGGTCAGACAGGAATCAAGAATTTTCCTTGACTGGCCTGAGGATGACTTGTAATCCAGTACTAAGGAGGGTGAAGCAGAGGTTCAGGAGTTTTCCAGACTGGCCTGGACTATATCACGAATCTTTGTCTAAAATAAAAGAAGGAGGATTCATTCATAGAATTAAAAAAAAATCAAAATAGGCTATTTTCTTAATATCTGTTTAATATAATTTGCATTGTTTTCATCTTTATAATTATAAAAACTATTATATTTTCAGAACTATGTTATCATAAAAACCTTATAACTTTCCATGATAACTTTTCACTCTTTTTTGAATACTGATCACTTTACTTTATAAAGAAAATATGAAACTTTTTCCTTATGCGTTTGCAACGTCATCAGATTTTGTTTAGAATTTTGGGAAGAAATAATTTTTCCATGTGTATGTTTTAGCTCCTATCACACTATTTTTTAGAATTACTCACAAAATCTTTTATTTCATAGACATTTTCAAATGCACTAGTGTTGTAGCATTCTCCTGTTTTGGAGGTGGGATAGAGGGGGAGGCAGGCTCTCATTCTGCAGCTCAGGTTGGCCTGGAATTTGCTAGGTCAACTGGGATGGCCTCAAAGCAGAAATTCTTTTGCCTCTGCCTCCAGTGTGCCCTGACATTCAATCCCTTACTTATATCATGTGGCATTTTTTTTCTCTATTTAAAAAATATTTTGGTCGGGCGGTGGTGGCGAATGCCTTTAATCCCAGCACTCGGGAGGCAGAGGCAGGTGGATCTTTGTGAGTTCGAGGCCAGCCTGGTCTCCAAAGCAAGTTCCAGGAAAGGTGCAAAGCTACACAGAGAAACCCTGTCTCGAAAAACCAAAAATAAATAAATAAATAAATAAATAAATAAATAAATAAATAAAAAATATTTTACTTCATAAATAGAGTTTCTGAAGCTTAATTTTTCTCTTTTCCCTAAAGCATTCTCAAACATTCTTTCTCTGTAGTCTACTGTTTTTATATATATTTTTAATTTGTGTGGTTTTCGAATTTCTTCTAGAACATTCTGAATTGAAGTCTTAGTTCAGTTTTTCTACATTTAATCATGGATTCACATTTTTTGAGCTGTTTGTACTCATTTGTAATGTTAGTTTTTGTTCCTATTTTTCTTCTGATATATAACTATAATTTTAATTGCTATTTTTGTCTTAAAGGGTCATTTAGATGAGAGCTTGAGTGCTTTGTGTTTTGTGCCTTTGTTTTATATTTGTATTACAGAGTAGCAGAGTGTTATTTTGATGGGTGTATTGGAGCAATCTGTGGTTTGTGACACGTGAGTAGCCTAGACAGAACGCTACATGAAATAGGCCAGGCACAGAAAGAAACACAGCCTGATTTTCCTTATGTGTGGGATCAGAAATAATTGGTCTAAGAGAAACAGTGAGTAGAGTTCTGGGTTTCCTGTGGCTGGGGAAAGAGGAAATACTGGTCAAGAATATAAAACTTCAGTAGGATGGGCAAAACAGAGTAAGGGATGAATGACTATAGCTGATAACAATGTATTGTATTCTTGGAATTTTCTGAGTAGATGTAAAGTGTCTTCATCAGTTAAAAAGATATACAAAATAAGATACATTATTTAGTTTGATCAAGACATTCCACAAGATACACATATTTTAAAGTACCATAATATATGGCAGTGTATATACTTTATCTTGTCGGTTAAAAGCCAGAATAAAACAAGAGGCCTGAACTGGAAATCTGATACAAAAAGAAATTTGAGAGGCTTTGTAAATGCTCTGACGTCCTAGGCACTGGGACCCTCAGTAAGGACGTATCTGCACACACAGAATCCCTGCAGTTTTCTCCTCAGTTGTGCTTCGGTGTGTGACTGTAGTTTTGTTTTGTAAATTAAATTTCTTTGCTATAAAAATTGGCTCAAAGAAATAAGACTCTAGGAGTTGGTAACTGACAGCAATAGCTTGGGACAAGATACAGAAAAGAAAAAAAAGACAACAAAAGACTGTCACCTGGAGCAGGCAGCAGCTTCCTAAAGGGATGTAAAGTTGCTGGGGCATGACAGTGGTATCGAGGCGCAGGTGCCGATGTCCTGAGAACAAACAGTACTACTGAATCTGCACACTGCTTTGATACTTGGGGAGTGCCGATTCTATGCTTGAAACTCTTCAGCCAACCATTTGTTTCTCATTGTCTGTAATTAAAGAGTCAAACCGTGAGAAAATAGCTCATTATATCCACAAGAAACAGGTGACAGTAAGATACAGCCCAGCTTCATTAGATCCTTCCTGAAAACTCACAACACAAACCTGAATTATCCTCTGGTTTTATTTTGATGCTAACTCTGGTTACGTGAACTCTTAGGAACTGATTCTGAGTGAAAGATTCTAAGTCAGAAGTTACGGTAGAAGACAACCAAATTCAGCCAGGGATGCAGGTCAGTGGGAGAGCACTGGCTTAGCACATACAAAACCTTAGGTTCCACCCCCATCACTAATGAATAAATGCATAAATAAGTAAGTAGATCAATAGTTTATTTGTAATAAGTCTGTTTCTCTTAAGAAATATTCAAAAAGCCTATTGATATATAAAATTAGAATGACCTATAGCGCTTGCTGAAAATTAGGCTAAGCAGCATCCAATCAAAACCATGTTTAGTCATAAACTGTCAAAACCTTCTCTGGTCATCTTTTTTGAAAAAGAGACATCTGGCAGGGGGGCGGGGGATGGCGCACACCTTTAATCCCAGCACTCTGGTAGAAGCAGATGGATCTCTGTGAGTTCAAGGTCAGCCTCATCTATAGAGCGAGATCCAGGACAGGCACCAAAACTACACAGAGGAAAAAAAAAAAAAGAAAAACTACACGTCTCAAAAAAAAAAAAAAAAGATATCTCAGTGTGTGTGTGCGTGTGTGTGTGTGTGTGTGTGTGTGTGTGTGTGTGTTGTGTGTGTTGTGTGTGTGTGTGTAGGTATATGGGCATGTACACAGGTGCCTGTGGAGGCCAGAAGAAGGCATAAGATCACCTGGAGCTGGCGTTACAGATGGTTGTGAACTGTGCTGCGTGGCTGCACCAAATGCAGCTTGGATCCTCTGCAAAAGACACACATGCTTTTATTTTATTTTATTTCAATTTATTTATTTATTTATTTATTTATATATTTGGGGGAGTTGAGACAGAGTTTCTCTGTGTAGCTTTGTGCCTTTCCTGGGGCTGCACCAAAAGCAACTTGGATCCTCTGCAAGAGAAACACATGCTTTTATTTTATTTTATTTCATTTTATTTATTTATTTATTTATTTATTTATTTATTTATTTATTTGGGGGAGGGGGGTTGAGACAGGGTTTCTCTGTGTAGCTTTGTGCCTTTCCTAGAACTCACTCTGTAGCCCAGGCTGGCCTCGAACTCACAGAGATCCACCTGGCTCTGCCTCCCGAGTGCTGGGATTAAAGGCGTGTGCTACCACCGCCTGGCGAAACACATGCTTTTAACTGACCCATCTCTATAATCATCTTTCTTAAGAATGAATTTTTTACTCAGTCTGTAGAGTTGTGTTATATTAAAAAAAAAACAGCATCCTGTTGTGTTTGCCAAGTTACTCCATTTTTAAAAACAGAAAATCATAACATTTATATGTACTGTTGCTTAACTTAGGGACAAAGACTTACAGACTGGTGTCAAAAAATAATAATAATTCTCTTTTATAAGACAGAGCTCAGTTTCTGATGTGAGTTTTGATACATGTATTAAGGAATATTGTGAAAAGAAGGTAAAGATATTTAAACATATTTTTCACTTATTTGCTAAAAGCTATACATCATCATGAATGTATTTAAAACTATGGAACCACCCAGACATTCAGTTTTCTCCAAGGAGACATACTTCTCATGCCAATGTAATGAAGTCACAGACTTGCACGGTTTTCTTTCTCCAGCTCTATGACTGCTTCCCAGTCTCCTTTTTGTCACAGCTTCTTTGTCCATAAATATTGAATGCCACAGAATTCCAGTCTCGTGGTCTCCTGCCTCCAATTGTAACCTTTACCTAGACAGTCCATAATACTGCCCTAATTGCTTCTTAACTAGATACCTTACAAATAGCAACATGCCATCTTTCCCAAAGACATGCATCATAGTATTTGGCAATCTGGTTATTTCTAGAGCATCTTCTACATGTACAATTACAATGTTCAAACTGAGAAAACAAAATTAAGCAATGACCTCAGGATTGGGGAGTCAGAAGTCTCTTAGGCTGTCATCTTTCAGAAGCATTCAACTCCCACTGCTGTAGGTAAAGAAAGTCCAGACTTTTAAGGCACATTGTCCCTCTGTCACCCTTCAATGACCACTTTGTGAGTGTACACACACACACACACATACACACACACACACACACACACACTCAAAACACACTGCTCCCTCATCCTGAACTGTTGGAAAAAAATGTGACCTCAGTCCTTTCAAACACTGTCAGAGAGAAGCCAAGATTATACAGTCAAGTCATTGAGTTTCTTAGGCCACAACAATCAATGTCACTGTGGATATATATGCCAGACCCAGCCAATAAGCACATTATTTTTTCCCTTGTGGCCACAAAGATTTTCAGGGACTGACTTCAAGGTCCATGGTGGTCTAATTACAAGGGATCATAAGACTGAAATGAGACACAAAACCTTTTCAGCTGGATTGGAACCTGCAACAAAATGTCAACTGAAGTCAATCTTGTCACCTAAGAATACCAAAAGAGAAACTTAATCCTGATGATTTGATTACAGATGCAGAACAACTGTAAGCAATAAAGAATAAGGGTTTATTACCCAGCAGAAACCTGGACCAATTTTCAAAGCCGTTGAAAAGAATTTGTGAATGCCCTTGCTTCAGTGCTGGGGATAGGCCTAAACGTCTCACTTAAGAAACAAAGCTGGTCCTCATTGCATGAGTTGGCTGTTTGAAACCTGGGGCCTATGCAGGATTGTTTGGCTCGGCCTGGGAGGAGGGGACTAGACCTACCTGGACTGAGTCTACCAGGTTGACCTCAGTCTGTGGGGAAGGCTTTGCCCTGGAGGAGATGGGAATGGGGGGGGGGCATTGGGGGGAAGGTGAGGGGGACGGGAGGGGGGAGAACAAGGGAATCCGTGACCGATATGTAGAACTGAATTGTATTGCAAAATAAATTAAAATAAATTCAAAAAAAAAAAAAAAAAAAAAAGAAACAAAGCTGAGCATGAAAGACAAGAAAGTCAGAACCAGTTCAGAACTATGAAGACAGGAAATCAGTGAAGATAAACAGGACACCCAGCACTAATGGGAATCAGAGTCTGTCTCCTGCTTCTCAATCTTTAACAGGTTGGGTGCTCTGCTGAGGAAGTGGGTGTTTTTCACAACAGAACTGCACATGCTCCTGACACAGGCCTGGTGAATTTGCCTTGTTTACTCAGTTTGTTTTAAATGCGTGTTGTTGTTTTTTTAAAAAAAAGGAATTATATATTACAGCTGCAGTTGAGGCCTTCATTTCTAAGTTCCATTATAATAACTCTTTCCCAAACATAAAGTCAATATTGAGCATTTTAATTTTGGTAGATTTTTTTTAATTGAGAAATCATTGCATAAAGTTATAGACCGATGCACGTTTCAAAGTGCAACACCTGCAGCTTCCCTTCTAACTTCTGAATCCCGTCACACTTGGCTAATTGCAAACCCTGATAGGAAATCATGAGAAGAGTAATCCGTGCTCTCAGTTCAGTGAGAATGGCGTTATCAAGCTAGAATACTGTCTGAAAAAGGAGCCCACATATACAGACGGTGTGATCCCATTAACAGCCCCCTGGATCAAGCTAGCATTAGGCTCTTCAGTTATGTAAATCAAAGCCCCTCATAAAGAGAACTTTAGATTGAGTTTTCTCACTTGCTGTCAGAATGTACAAAGACTGGTAGCAGAATGTTCATGGCAGCAGCAGACACTGAATTCATAACTAGCAGAATCAAGGTGAGATGAGTCTGTGCTCCCAAACTTGAACTATGGCAGCTCCTGTGGTTTGGCCACACAGGTTACAGGTAGCAAATGAAGGCCTGGTCTAACCTGACACCACAGTACAAATGATCCCGAAATGAAGAATGTAGGTTTTTGGCACATCGTTTCTACAGATTCTTATCCTCACAAGTCTCATAAGCAGGAAACCAGTTCATTGAAGTTGGCTCATCTGAGTGAAAACAGGGAAATAAGAGGCTTTACTAAGAAATGTGTTTCTTACCAGAGACTTTCTGTCAGGATGTTGGAGATACTGAAATTCTTGAAATCAAAATTCTCTCCTCTGAATGAAAGCAGGTACAGCGGGACACAGAAACAACACAGAGGGGTTAAAACCCTACCCATATCCATTCTCCTTAGATAATTCCATCCACTATGCATCCCAGGTCAACCTCAAACTCAAATGATCTTCCTGCCTCAGCATCCAGAGAGCTGAGGACTCCATGCTCACTTTACAAAGTTCCCTGGAAATCCTAACATAAGCTACTTAGAATGGGGAGCAAATACCTAATTCCCAAAACTACCCCAGAGATGAACCTGGGAGCAAGGACTGGAGTAGCTGAGTTTCCCACTCCAGCCACATGATAAACTGCCTTGATAAAGGCCATGACACAAGTAAAGGGATAAAGGACATGAGCAGAATAATGTGGTAGGCCACATTAGTTGACAACTCTGGTGACTAGTTCTCATACAAATGCTCGTGTAGATTTCTGGTCTTTGGTAACACGGTGGAGAATTCTGATAATCAATATGTCTGGATTATGAAGTGCCTATGAGATTCAAAAGCACATCTATGGGTGTGTTTATGAGGATGTTTCTAGAGATAATAAGAACCATGAAGGCTTTGACCTAATGAATGGATTAATCCCTTCTCAAATTCATAACATAATGGCATTATTGGGAGTTAATGAGAGGCAGGAGTTGGGTTCTAATTGGAGAAAGTAGGTCACAACTTTGTGTCCTTGTGGATTCTATTTGGACTTGTGTGGCATTCCTGTATGTTCTTTTTATCTACTTCCTGTCTACCACAACGTGAACTGCTCTAATCTGCCAGATCCTCCCCCACCATGATGAAACGAAACCTCAGAAGTCATTGATCAAAATAAATGCCTCTACTTTCGAGTAGTTTCTTGCTAGTATTTTGTCAGAGTGATGAAAAAACTATTAATGCACCCCTCAACACTCATAAAAGTAACAAGTATATCCATCAATTCATATCCCAAATCCTGATTCTATTGTAACAGGAATTGGTGAAGCATAACTCATTTTTTACATCTCCCATATGACTACTAAGGGCAAAACAAAAGAAAACTAAAGAAACATCCAGAAGATCAGAACCAAGGCAATTCATTAACACCTGTTGACAAAAGAACCCCTTCCAGTGTCAACCCAGAGCAAGGGATCCCTGAGAACTCTTCCAGCTACATGTGATATTCACAAAGGACTCTTGGCCATTGTGCTTTTCTTCCTACACTCACCATCCAATGAGAGCATAACTGTAGATATTTTCATTCTCTATCAATATGTCTTTCATATGATTGGACACTGTGTGCTATTAGACTCTTGGCTTTTGTGGACACACGGATTTCTACTCTGAACTGATGAATAAAGCATTCATGTTGATCAGAGGAACTGGGTGGAGTAACAGAGAATAACGTATTTAGGAATAAGGTTCAGTTTGTATGTTAAGTGGTGAATTGGTTTCATTGAATGCCTCCCAAAGGTACGTATTTCCAAACCTTGGTCCCCAGGTTGCTGACTCTGGGCAGTACTTTGGACATCTGAAAAGTAGATCCTAGTAGGAAGTCATGGGTAGTGTTCTCGTGAAGGAACTGTGATATCAAATCCTATCCTGGCATTCTCTTTGATGCCTTCTCAATTGTTTCCCAATAAGCATTCCTAATACGACAAATTGCCTTTATTAGACGCACAAAAATAGTAGAATCACTCCATCTTATGCTGGAACTTAAAGAACCACGAACCAATAAACATTAAAAATAAACATTTCCCACTAGTTCATTATCACAGGTATTGCACTACAACAACCCAAAACTGAATGCAGGTGGCCAAAAGAAATGGACTATAACAGACAGTGGTTTGTTTTCCTAAGCTATCAGGACCCATGCCCTTGTGTTAGCCAAGGGGGAGGAGGGCCTTTGTTTTCAGCCTCAGAGGTTTGGTCACACCACTAACCTGGAAAAGTACTACACAGATTTAGTGACTAAACTGGTCCAATCAGAACCAGAGGTCAAATTTAGGAGTGACCTCAGAGGTATTGTCTCTATATTGAAATCAGGGGAAGATACAGATTTAAAAAAAACAGCTGGGCAAGAGGGAGTGTCTAGCCCAAAACACCCATAGCAAAAAGGAATTCAAGATAAGCAATGAAAAGAAACAAAGTGGATCTTGTTAAGCACATAAGCCCCTGAAGCTAGAGACCAAACTTAAGTTTATCTAACCATAAATTTTTCCAAGTATAAGCTAATTAATTATCATTTGTATTAAAGATGCCTGAGATAACTAAAGATAGCTACCTGGGCAGCTCCTGCTAACTCACTAAAACTCACCTTCTGATTTCCTCCTTTGCTAACAACACTTCCCAGTTCCCTGAGTGGATCCGTGTGTTTCCACAGTCGCTGCCATTCTCGAAACAATAACTAAAATGTGTGATCTATTATGTGTACCTTAGATATGATGAAGAGACTATATCAGTTATGGAGGATTTTGTTGT